TCTAGATGCTTTTGAAAACTACTGGGAATTTTTTACTTTAGACTTCCAAAGTACCAACTAGATTCACTTTTGTTCAAATTTTCGTTTACCACCTATTTCAACACAAATTGGTTTCAATACTTTGAATTTTGTACATAAAATATACATACTTATCAAAATATACAATAATATTTTCCTTTTATATTATTGATTATTTAATAAGTATTGATGGAAAAAAAACAGGAAATCAACTATTCTCTGCTCAGCGAGAGACCGTGCCTCACACCGACGAAAACTGGTTCCCCTGGGTAACACCCTGCCATTAGTGAACCGGGTTCGATAGCATGGTGTCGCAGAGATTCGCAGAATCGGAATATATAATAGTGAAGATATCTATTTTTAACTTTAGTGGACGTAATTTATAAATTTATTGTCGATAAAAATAAAACAGCCAGAATTAAACAGTGTATTATTATACACTGGACAATCTGCGTAAATAATAACCGTTGTCTTCCGAGTCGATCGTGCTTGTTTACTTTTGGAAAACATAAAATCCATGCACGCATTATGATTGTACTCTGCGTCTACGCCAGTTAGAAGCACACCATAGCCGTCATAAAAAGAATAATTTTTTAATTGTTGATTCTGTTAGTGTTCTGTGTTTTAATAGTTAAAATGGAATTTGAAGAGTATTATTACTTGAAGAATGGCCAAGGAAGGCAAAACGGTGTAACGTAAGTATACTGTATAGATACTTTTTTATTCATGAATTATTAATTTATTTTATCAACTGCAGTGATGGATTTATAATGTAAAAAACTGTGTAGAGTTTTAGAAATTTACCTGACCCCATTAACCAAAAACATATCATTATTACTTATTATTAGTTATTACGAAAAAGTAATAATAGTTTTTTAACGACCTTATAGGTACTACAAATGTAAATTTGCAAAAAAGTTTTTTTGTAATGCAACTTTGAAGAAACTCCCTAAAGGACAAAAGATTACAAATCGAACTCATAACCACGAGGTGGATTTAAATGTGATTGGTATGGCACAATTTAAAAAGTATTGGGAAATGAGATCTTCTACGGATTTGATTCCACTGACGGAAATTTATGACGAGGAAGCACGCAAGTAAGAACTAATTTGTTTATTATGAAATCTTTAGATTATCTGAAAAACCATAATATGTATAATATATAATATAATATATGATTATGTAGGTATGTCCGTTCTATCACTTAGTAGCCTAAATTAAAAGTTATTTTGAGGACGAATGCCGTGTGAATACGACAGTAAGACATACGTGCCTATATATTATGCACATGGCAGGTATTCGTTTCCATACCATTATTCTGCCTAACACTGGGGGTAAACCTTAGCAGTAAGTTAATATCTTATTTTTCATAAATTTAAATTAAATTTATATTTTGTTTATTTATTAATTTTTTTTTAAGTTGAACCCCATTTTAAAAAGTATATACATATTGATTCAACAAGCAAGTTAGATTCTGAGGGGAGCGATAAATGCATTGATCTTACTTGTCTGCATAAATGTTCAATATATTGTGCCCGAATTTTATTTTTATTTGGGGATATTATCGGCCAAATTCAGGTCTTTCGTCTTATTATTTTTTTCATGTAAATACAAACACAATATAACATACCATTGGAACATTTTTTTTACTATTTCTCATCGTTTTTATTTTTTTATTCTTTAAAATTCCTTATTCCAAAGCTAAATATTTATGAAGTATTTTGATCTATAAAAATTGAATTTTGGATGAGTAGCTTTTATGAGTTATAGTTTAGATGTGTGGAGTTGAGTGATTAGGGGTACCCCATAAAATGTGGTCCACCAATAAACTACTTGTCGGAAATTTGATTTGTAGAGATCAAAATATTCTGAGTTATATTATGCTTAGGAATATGAAATTAGAAATATATATTGTCAATGACAGCAAAACTAAAAAAAAAACCATAAGAAATATGATTATATTCCAAAAATATTTTTTTATGAACTTAAAATTATATAACAGAACATTTTTTTAAATGGTTAATTTTTCCCAAATAAGAAGATGTGTTTTATATGATTAATAAAACACTACGTATAGTATTTTATCTTTTTAAATCTAAGATTTTAAAATGTAATATAAGTTTCTTTATAAGGTTATTTACCTTTATAAAAAAAAAAAATGTCTATAAGAATGTCAAATTAAATTTTTATGAGCTTTTGAAGTTAAAATGTTTACAACATTATTCACACGATTTCTCATGTAGCTATTTTCTTATTTTGTTGCAATTATAAAATGAATAAAGGTAAACACATAAGATTTATATCATAATATGTTTATTTTATTAATTCCTATACTTGATGAAATTTCAAAATATTTTGAATTGTTTTGAGCTGTTTACGGACAATTTCAAATTTCAGTTTTTTTAGTTGTCTATAAATATCAATAAAATAATATTGATTTTGTAGTTAAACATTTATAAAATGTTCAATTTTTATAGCTAAATATTGAAAACTTACAACATGGTTCCACGTAAGTAGGTTCTTCTGTAACCAACAAATCTCAAAAATTTAAAAACATAGTTTTTTTTTATTGTTAACTTTAACTTCAAATTTTTATGAAATTAGGTACATATTAAATAACCAAGAATAACAATTTTAGTTATTTTGTTGTAATTTTTATAATATTAATTCAACTTACCGGCTACCATATTAATAATAAGTAAGAACACTAAGAACAATTTAAATATAATATAAAATAATATCCACACTGACAAACCTTTACCGCTCAGAATCGATTTTATATACAATGATATTATATAATTGAATTCAAATTTAATACCATCCATTATACAGTTAACCACTTGTAAACTGCTATACAGCAGAGCGACATCCACTTACCGACCTTTTTTTAAAAATAATTTAAAATGTCAACAATTTCTCTATACGCACCATTAGCAATTTGCATTGCAACTAATTACATAAAATTAATACAAGAATATTATATATATATATAATAATTTAAGTCGTTATGGACATAGAACAACAATAAATCGTAGTATTATTGAACGTTATTTATTAATACTTTTCTGGTGAGATTATTTAGACAAACGTGTTATCTTAATCGCATGCACTCAATTACTTTTAAATTTAAATTCCGAAATATTAAATAAAATAAAAATTTTAATAGATGTAATTTTTATCATAAAATATATTGCCTTCAGCGTCATAAATTAATATTAAATAATAATAAGATAAAAATATTTACTCACCGACCAATGTCCAACGTGGTTCTTTTTACTTTTCGTTTGAACGCTCGATTGTACGCATAGTTTACATAATCTCACACGAGTATTTGTCGTGTACGTCCGTCTTGTATCAATAATTGATAAAAAATGTAATATTTAATTATAAAAACTTATCTAACATATACCATACTAAAATAATATTAAAATGCCAAGTTGCAGAAAAAATTTCTCAATGTTTCACTACAATATAATGGACCAATTATGGGCCACTAAATAATGTCCAAAGAGGCTTATACATTTATACAGATTAATCGCCGAATTTAAATATATTTTATTTTGCGCAATTAATCGACGCGTTTTTGCTGAATACAGAGCCGGGCGCAATTCATCGCCTAGTGTGTACGACCACCGTTGGTTCATTTAAAATTGTTTATCGATTGTATATGGAATATCATTAATATTATAATATGCAGGTGAAAACATAAAGGTTTACAAACGAAGACCTGACTGGTGTACCCAAAACCACGGATTATGTTGGGCCATAACCTCATAAGCAGGACTATGAATTAGTAGGAAAGAACATAAATGTTAGCTGATCGTGAAAAGTTGCTTTGCAAGTACATAATTTGAATTATGTAACAACAAATCCATTTCCGAAACTTTGATTTTGAATTTTTTTTGCATTATTTGTCTTTTTCAATTTTTTACGTAATTTGTTTGACTATTTAGTTCATTTTTCTCGTATTTAAATTCCGTCAACTGCATAACATCTTTGAAAGCATATTTTTTTACACATGCTGTATATATGTCAAATTTATATTTGACACAAGCTGTATACGAGTTAGGTAAATTCGAATAGAATTATTAAAGAATCAATCAACTTCAAAATAAAAATAAAAATTCATTCAACATTTTATAATTTTTTTTATTAAATAAATATATTTTTATGCATGATATAATATACTAATATCAATATAAATATAAGAATTAAATTTAAAACATTTTATGTGCATTTTATACTTACATTTTTGGAATTTTAAGTGCATTTTTTAACATTTTAAATGCGTTTCTTAAGATTTTTCAGTGCAATAAATTCACAGCCCTGCTCATAAGTCATAATATTAATACATATTATTTTAAACCATAGGTTTACCATGGTGTATATAATTCTTAAGCAACGCAATTTTAAAATATTATGATGATAGTTCTCTGATTAAAATAAATCTACGAATTCAAATGAACATTAACCAGTGCGCACACTAATTAGTAATTAATGTTATAAATTAGTATAAACTTGTAACGTATAAACAACGGTTTATTGGCGATAATATATTCGCTGAATAACTTAGCGTAGTATATTAGGTATAATATTAAATATAACAATATTATTTTTCCGTAGGACCTAGAGTGGGGATGGAAAATCTCACTTAACTCGTATGGCAATTTTATATAGGTACCTCATAAGCAACAATAACGAAACGCGATTGGTGAGACAGGACCACCTTCGTAAAAGCAATTTTTTTTCGATCGAGTGATATATCAAACGCGATAATACCGCGACGAGGCAGTGCAAGCGTGCATGCGCTTCGCAAAGGTCCACAGTTTTCCTGTCGTCCTCTCAACCTTTGGCCAGAAGTCTTTCGTTGATTTCTTGGTCTGCCTTTTCTGATTCTCCGACAGTTGCAGCCGCATGTGAGTTATTTTTTCGTAAATAATAATCATCGTCGGTTGTCTGTTTCCGCTGCCGTTCTTATCGCCATGTGGCCGTCGCTACACTTCCGCCGTACGTCGTCGCTGCATACGATCATCAACTTGGTCGTCGCTTTGGCCGTCGCGGTCGCCATCGCGGTCGGCATCCACTTGATGATCGACGTCTACTCGACGGTCACCTCCCCGCAGTCCAACGGCGAAGCGACGATCACGATCGATGGCCAGCAGTGTAAGTGCGTGCCGTTCGAAATGTGTTTTTCGAACAATACCGTCAACGTACCCTCTAGGTAGGTGTAACGATTACGTGCATATTATTATAGTACGTGTTGGGGTAAACCGGCGCTCAGTGGCGTGACTTTGGTCGTATGGTGGGGAGGGTTCTAATGGGGAGCCAAGTTCAACCAAGTTTGGCTCGTATCGAGCTTGTCGTTGCTAAATTTTGGGTTCTTAGACCGGAGTCCGGAGGTACATTTTATTTCATAATCGCTACTTTTGGTAATAAGAAAAGCATTTAGTTAATTCAGACCACATTTCAGTTTATAAGTCATAATAATGTTTTTAATTTTTATTCATACCTATATCTAGCGCAGGCAGTTGCAGCAGCAATAAAGTATGCTGCATAAATGAAGATGTCAATATTGGAACAACCCAGGGACCACCTATTATTGGCGAACCCATCAATAACAATGTTCGTAATTGTGGTATTGGTATGCCACCACCAAATACCATAAATTCTGACGATGTAGGACCCCGTATGATGAATTTTGAAGGTACTTTTACCATTTATTTTAAATTTAAACAACACAAAGATAATATTTTCTAATAAAATAAGTACATTTTTGTTTTACGTTTTATATTAACAGACAACTCAAAAACACATTTTGGTCAATTTCCGTGGATGGTTGCTATTACAAAAACAGATAAAAATCAAGAGACTGGTATTACAACTGAACATGTTTTCGTTTGTGGTGGTTCATTAATACATCCACGAGTCGTTTTAACTGCGGCACACTGCGTCAGGTACCTACTTAAGCAAACTAAATACAACTAAAATTACTACTTTACTAAACCTTTATTAATTACTACAATATACTCACTTTTAAAATATCATAAAAATAAAAAAAAAGATCACATTTTTTATCATTCTTAATTTGATAAACACATTTGACACTAACCTTTAAATTAAACTTAACTAAATAAATAATAATATCATATCTTACTATAATATACTTATTTTATTTTATCAAAAAACATTAAACACATTAGAAACGAATAGAAACCAGCACTTTAGACATTACAACATGCTTTTCATAACCTATCAATCTATATGACGTAATTATGAATCTTAAAGGAATATCATACTCAATAATACTTTATATAAGTATATGCATAACATTATATCTTATATTATAACTAAGTAACAATAACAGATAATCACCTCTATGATAGCATACAGATAATAGTGTAATACTAAATAAAATATAATATACTACTTTTACTTAAATATATTACTAGTTACTACATTAATTTATTTAACTTTAGTCATAGGTAGCTCATAAGTCACTATAACAAAAACATTTTAAGAAAACATATTATGTAGAACAAAATTAAAATTAAATAAAAAACACACATAATAAGCTAAATATTAACCAAACTTTAAAAAAAATATTTAGTACCTATACCTATATTATGATAACCTCAAAAAATCATTGCACTTACAAATTAAACCTAAATACTAAAAATATTATTTAACTTTATTTTATTTTACTAGGAACCTACTTTTATTAAATTAATATTAATTTTAAGTTAATATCTATCAAAACTAATACTGCAACTAATATTTTATAAAAACAATCATCAAGTAGGTATAGACAATAGACATCGGCACCTATTAGTCAACGAAATCCTGAAAGCTAAGAATATAAAAATGATCTACTATATCTATATAACTACTTAAGATAAAAATCAATTTTACCAGTATAAAAAAAACCTAGCACACTTAGGTATACCAATATATGATTCTGTTCCCTAAATTTTACATTCTTAGAAATATCACTCAAATGTACCGTACTATTCTCACCATTGTATGAACAACATGGTATGATCGTAAAACTCTAGATTTGGTCCAAGTCCCCGCAAATGCGCATTACGTCACTGGCTCACCCGTATAATTATGATATTATCGTATTGTCACTAAATTATTATTACTTTACCTAATACTATAATAGGTACCTACACTACTCTAAGTCACGTACTTACCGAAGGATCTTAGGTGTCTCTGAGTGACCGTGATCTGTGTGGCCGAAAACAAAATATAATTCAATGAAGACCTATATCTAAGACTACAATAAAACACACCACAATTATTACATTATTGAAGAAAATTTAAAAATTCCAATAATAAGGTTCCAACAAAACAGAAAACATAATATACATATTTTCATCTCTCCTATCAATGCAACAAAAGGTGGGTAAGTGGATGTCGCTCTGCTGTACAGTAGGTTACAAGTGGGTCACTGTATAATGGATGGTATTAAATTTTAATTCAATGATACAATATCATTGTATAAGAAAACGATTCTGAGCGGAGACTGTCTGTCAGTCTAGGTATAAGACATATTATATACATATCTATGGTATTAAACAAAAAATTGACCTATAATAAATTCCAAATTAATCATATCACATTATCCATTAGGTACTTATAACACGTTATACATCAATAACAAACCCTGATACTATCATAGATATATAATATAGTGTACTTTAGAAGTTTCAAGTACCCACGAATAGTATTATACACTCACAACAAAATAACGAAAATAGGTATGCTAGGTTTTTTAATATGTAATTTCGTCCAAATTTGAACATAAAATGACTATAAAAATAAACTGTGATTGTATATTTTTTAGATTTTTCGGTAAGAGAATTAACTACTTACGTGAAATCTTGTTTTAAATTTTCAATCCTTAGCAATAAAAACTGAACATTTTATAATTTATTAATTACGATGATTAATAATTTTCGAGATTTTGAAAAATTCTGTCAAAATTCGATGTTAAAATGCTTATAAAAAAAAATTGTGCGTATGTATTTTTGATATTTTTCAACTGATATTGTAACAATATATTAGGAGCCTTTTATTAAATTTTTACACTTTTTGGCCCAACAGATAAAACTTTATTGATATTCATAGAAAAAAAACTAAAAAAATTGAAAACTGAAAATGTCCGTAAACGGCTCAAAAAGAGTCAAAATATTTTCAAAATTGTATGGTGTATAGGAAATGCTAATATAAACATTCAGTGGAATTTTCATGTATCTGCAGTAATTCGTTTTTTAATTACAACAAAAAAAGGAAATTGCCACATGAGAAATCGAGTGAATATCCAATGTTGTAAAAATTTGAATTTCAAACGCTCATAAAAATTTAATTTGACTTTCCGGTAGAAATTTTTTTATTGATAAAGGTAGACAATCTTATGAGTAATCTTGTATTAGATTTTCAAATCTTAGATTTAAAAAGCAAATTTTTATGAATTTCTAACTCGAAATAATTTGCAAATTTTCGTGATTTTTCCATATTTTGTCATTTTTTGAACTTTAAATGCTTAAAAAAAAAACTATGACTTACGATTTTTAATATTTTTCATCTGTCATTGAAACAATATAGTAGGAGGCTTGTATTAAATTTTCAAGTATTTTTACTCAACAAATACATTTTTATTGATATTCATAAAAATAAAAACTAATAAAATTGGAAACTGAAAATGTCCCTAAACAGTTCAAAATAAATCAAAATATTTTGAAAATGTTATCGTGTATAGAAAATGCAAATATAAACAACCACTGAAAATTTCATGTACCTACGGTCATTTGTTTTAAAGTTACACCAAAAACCAAAATCGATTTTCTCGAAAACAGATTTTGCGTAAAAATTCCCGTTTTTCCTTAATTTTTCTTTTGTTTTTTCTTGGCGCTTTTGAAAAGTACTGGGAATTTTAAATTTTGACCTCCCCAATGCACCAACGATATTCACTTTCCAATCGAACAAGATACTGAAGTCGAAAATCGAAGCATTATTTCGACTACTTATCGTGTACACAGATACAAAAAAAATAAAAAAAAGGTGGGTAAGTGGATGTCGCTCTGCTGTACAGTAGGTTACAAGTGGGTCACTGTATAATGGATGCTTTTAAATTTGAATTCAATGATACAATATCATTGTATAAGAAAAACGATTCTGAGCGAAGACGGTATGTTAGTCTAGGTTTAAGACAAATTATATACATATCTATGGTATTAAAAAAAAATTGACCTAAAATAAATTCCAAATTAATCATATCACAATATCCATTAGGTACTTATAACACGTTATACACCAACAACAAACCCTGATACTATCATATATATATAATAGTACACTTTAGAAGTTTCAAGTAGGTACCCACGAATAATATTATATAATCACAACAAAATAACTAGGTTTTAGATTCTGAGTGAAACGATGAATGTATTGATTTTACAATGATGTGTGTTTTTTTATTTTTTTATTTTTTTATTTTTTTATTTTTTTATTTTTTTATTTTTTTTGTATCTGTGTACACGATAAGTAGTCGAAATAATGCTTCGATTTTCGACTTCAGTATCTTGTTCGATTGGAAAGTGAATATCGTTGGTGCATTGGGGAGGTCAAAATTTAAATTTCCCAGTAGTTTTCACAAGCGCCGGGAAAAACAACATAAAAATTAAGGAAAAACGGGAATTTTTACGCAAAATTGATTTTCCAAAAAATCGATTTTGGTTATTGGTGTAACTCTAAAACAAATGAACGTATATACATGAAATTTTCACTGGTTGTTTATATTTGCATTTTCTATACACGATAACATTTTCAAAATATTTTGATTTATTTTGAACTGTTTAGGGACATTTTCATTTTCCATTTTTTTTTAGTTTTTTTTCTAAAAATTTCAATAAAATTTTATTTGTTGGTTTCGAAAGCTTGAAAATTTAATAGAAGGCTCCTAATATGTTGTTTCAAAGACAGATGAAAAATATTAAAAATCCTTAGTCACAATTTTTTTTTATAAGCATTTAAAGTTCAAAAATTGACAAAATATGGAAAAATCACGAAAATTAGCAAATTATTTTGAGTTAAGAATTCGTAAAAATTTTTCTTTTTAAATCTAAGATTTGAAAATCTAATACAAGATTACTCATAAGATTGTCTACCTTTATCAATAAAAAAATTTCTACCGGAAAGTCAAATTAAATTTTTATGAGCGTTTGAAATTCAAATTTTTACAACATTGGATATTCACTCGATTTCTCATGTGGCAATTTCCTTTTTTTGTTGTAATTAAAAACGAATTACTGTAGATACATGAAAATTTCACTGAATGTTTATATTAGCATTTCCTATACACCCTACAATTTTGAAAATATTTTGACACTTTTTGAGCCGTTTACGGACATTTTCAGTTTTCAATTTTTTTAGTTTTTTTTTTCTATAAATATCAATTAAGTTTTATCTGTTGGGCCAAAAAGTGTAAAAATTTAATACAAGGCTCCTGATATATTGTTACAATATCAGTTGAAAAATATTAAAAATACATAGGCACAATTTTTTTTTATAAGCATTTTAACATCGAATTTTGATAGAATTTTTCAAAATCTCGAAAATTATTAATCATCGTAATTAATAAATTATAAAATGTTCAGTTTTTATAGCTAAGGATTGAAAATTTAAAACAAGATTCCACGTAAGTAGTTAATTCTCTTACCGAAAAATCTAAAAAATATACAATCACAGTTTACTTTTATAGTCATTTTATGTTCAAATTTGGACGAAATTACATATTAAAAAACCTAGTTATTTTGTTGTGATTATATAATATTATTCGTGGGTACCTACTTGAAACTTCTAAAGTGTACTTTTATATATATATGATAGTATCAGGGTTTGTTGTTGGTGTATAACGTGTTATAAGTACCTAATGGATATTGTGATATGATTA